TATTTGGTAAATTTCTAATAATTCCTTCTATTTCTTCTGCTGTAAAATTTTTTGTAAGTGGTAAATACCATTCCTCTCGTATTTCATTATTTTGATTGTAGGTCTGTTTCCATTCTTGGTATTGATTCAGATCTTCTATGTTTTTTGGTGTGATCCAATGACTAAATACATTTTTGATTTCTTGTTTTATTTCTTCTGGATCTGTTATTACTTCAATTTGTTTGTTGGTTATTCTGGTTAAACTATCTGTTACTATTCTTGGTCTTTCTTTATTTAGTAAACTTTGAATAACTATTTTTTTGTTATCCAAAAAGTTTTTATTTCTTTTAATAATTTGTTCTTTAATTTTCTTATAATTTGCTTCTTTTATTTCTGCATCAAATATCTTGTGCAAAGTATGATGCATCTTTTTAACCTCTTTTAACCAATTTTTATTCTCATCTGATGTTTCTGTCCATATTGGAATTGTAATTTCTATATTATAGTCTTCCCTAGTTTTTCCTATCTTTTTTCTTATTTTCTCTTTTAACAATTCATTGTTTAAATTTATTTATTAAATCTAATGAATAACGAATAATAAATTTATATGTTATATTCGATAATTATTATTTTGAAATTTATAATAAATAAAATAACAATAAATAAAACAATAATAATTAAAATATCAATAATTAAAATATCAAATAAATAAAATAACATAACAATAAATAAAAACTTTAAATAAAAGTAATTTACTTACAATTTAAAATTAAATACTTTTTTTTAGAGCAACTAACATTCTATTTTAATTATATAAAATTTAACTTATTTACAATAAAACTGACAATTACTCTATAATTTATTTAAAAACATAGATTAGGGCAGCCTTCTTTCCTATCATTTTTAACAGGAAGAATAGTATAAGTATATTTTATTCTTTTTATTTATTAAAATACACATACAGGAAAACTTTGTATAATGATTGAATTTTGTGTAAAAAATGACTACGATCAAACGACAACTTTACTCGGCTTCTTGAAAGCAGTGTTAATGGTGATGTCTCAATTGAAGTCATTGAAGAAGATATCAATATTTATAAAGTTCATTCGATTATTTTGCAAACCCCGTAGTGTTTACTTTAAAAAAGAAATTTGATTTCATTATTGAGTGTAAGTTTAAATATTATTTTTTTTTATAATTTTAATGATGGAAAATTAAAAAATTCGGCATTTTTGAAGCTATCAAGTCAAAACCTTTAAAATTGTTCGACTTCAATGATATTATTAAACATCCAAATGTTATTTTTGAATTTGAAATTTTTATTCTCTCCCTATAAATTCGCCAATTTCTATTCTTAAACATTAGAAGAAGGTAAATTTGAATATATATCGAATGGAAAAAGCAAAAATCCAATAAATGGTCAAGTCACAATTTCATGACTTAAAGGAAACTTTGAAAGAATTCCTCCCACACATTGATATTTCAGTTTTTCGATGAAGACGTAGCAAAAAATATTTTCCCTTGAATCTAAACTTTTTTTTTATAAATCTTAACAAACAAATCTCTTCAATTGTATCCAGCTCAAAAAAATACCCCAATTTCTTTGTCTTTCTAAGGTACACAAGAAAGTTAAATGCATTATTCTCAAGTACATCAAGCTTTGCACGTAATTCTGCCGTCGTTTTTTCTCTCTCCTTTGAAATTATTACACATGCCACACATCCAGGGGATTTGTGCTTTACGTTTAATGCATGAATGAAATGGTTTTCATAATTTGATGTATTTACTGAATATTGTAAATTTTGTTTTTTATTTAATTGAAATAAGATACATTCGGATGTATGATGAAATATAAGAAGAATAAAAAAAATAAGATTAAAATAATTTAAAAAAAAAAAAAAATAAAAAATAAAAATAAATGCAGTATAATAAATGAATGATAATAAAAATGAATGGCATTGATAAAGAAATGATCAAATAAATGAAGAAATAATAATCATTAAAACTATTTACCTATGATTCAAAGAAAATTCATAATAATAATAATAAATTTTTAACAAATAATAATATTGATGATAATAATAATAATAAAGATTTATAAATTCCAATTCAAAAATTTACTAGTCAAAATATATCTACACTCCATCATCTATTTTTAAATAACTTCCTTAATATCTTCATTTAGTGTCACATTATCAAGACCTTTAAATAAACTATTAATTTCATAATCTTTATAATCTTGATTATTATTATTATTGTTATTATTATTATTATTATTATTATTATTATTATTATTATTATTATTATTATCATCATCATAATTATTATTTCCAAATGCTATTACTTATTTTCTTTTACTTTTCTTCTCTCTCACCAATTTTTCCAATTCTTCAATATTATCATATAATAATTTCTTGGTACATAAATAATAAAGTATGGAACCTAATGAAAATACGTCGATGGATTTTTTCGCTTTAATATTTTCAAGGAATGTAATTGATTTTGAAGAGATTGGTTTCGGATTGAGTAATAATTTTTGAGGTAACAAAATTTCACGAGCTGAAAATCTAATCGAAAATTGAGGAATATTTTTTTTGTAAATTTTGGAAAGTTTGTTATAGTTGTAGTTGATGTTGATTAGTATTAATATGAAGAAGAGGTAGAGAAGAAGAAATTATAGTTGTGGTACTAGTTGCATCATGAATATTAATTGGTTGATATGTAAGTTCATCATGTTGATTAATGCTATGAAGTGACATTTGTTGAACTGACAACTTTACTTGGATATTATAATCAGTAAAGTAGTGTGCTGAACTTGTATCGTCACTAGGATAAAAAATTTTGATTGGGTTTAGGTATTGGATTGTGATTGGGGAAGGAATTGGTAGTAAAATTAGAGAAATATGACCAATACTTCGTGCATTTTCGAAATCATATATTCTAAGTTTATAGAGATTTGTTTCTTTACGAATTATATTTGATGGATTTAAAGATAAATTCTATAATCATGAATTAAATATAAATAAATATAATGTAGATGATGATATAAACAATTAGTATGATGAGAAAGAACAAAAATAGAATCAGATGAATTAAAAACAAAAAAAAACGAGAATACAAACCGCAACTTTAAGATCATGCAAAGATTTTTACTTTTTACAAATATTATGGAATAAAAAGAATATTCTCTTTCACTACTAAGTTATGAAGATTTATATCTAAATTCGTTCCATAATATTCAGTTATTATTTAAAGATGATAATTTTGATCAAATAAATATTTTTTGTTGCTGTAGAAGTTTAATTTTCCACTTTCCTTTCTCTATTATCATAAATAATTCTTCATTAATTTCAACAACGCTGTCAATTTCAATAGTGGTATTATCAAAAATTTCATTTTTATCAACTTAAATTTCTATATCAAACAATTTTAAAGCAAACTGATATTTCATGAATTTCTATGAAAAAAATTTCATTATCGAAATTTGAGTGATAATTGTGCAATTTGTAAATCATTAATTTTTCGTGAATTATCTTTAAATGAACTTTAAAATATTTACCATTGTTATTATTAGAATGATGCAGTTCGAGTTATTGCAAACTAGAGTGCAAAAGTGCATAAGTGCATATCACTATTTTCATTCATGATAGGCACTAACCATATTTAACCAAAATGATCTTGTTCAAAGTTTAAATTTGTATTCTCGATAAATGATTGGATAATTTAATACTGCATTTTACGTATTTTGTACGTATTTTTGTTTGTGAAAAAAAAAATGGCTTCTCAATTTTATAACCGTCTAGCAAACGACCTTATTCATCTTCTTGAAAGTGGTGTTAATAATGATGTCTCAATTGAAGTTGATGAAGAAGACTCTCACGTCAATACTTATAATGCTCATTCAATTATTTTGCAATCTCGTAGTCCTTACTTTAAAAAGAAATTCGACGAAATTATTTTCAATGAAGATCATTTCAAAGTATTAAAGTTGCCGAATATTTCAGTTAAAGTATTTAATGTTGTTATCAAGTAAGTTAAAATTATTTTTAGAAAATAATAATAGTAAATTTATTTAAAATTATTTTAATTATTATTTTATAATAAATAAATAATAAATTTCAAATATTATTTAGATATATTTACAGTGGAAAAATTTCATTGGAAAAATTGGAAAATTCAATCATTTTTGACCTTTTAATTGCTTCTAATGAACTTGAATTGGATGAATTAATTGAATATCTCCAAACTCACTTTGTTAACAATAATGCTTCATGGCTAAGATTGAACTTTGCTCAAATTTATCGAACAAGTTATCAAGTCGAAAACTTTAAAATTATTCGAAACTTTTGTAACAATATTATTGTCAAGTATCCTAATACTATTTTTGAGTCCGAAAACTTTCATTTTCTTCCTGAAGATGCATTAATTACTATTCTTAAACAGGATGACTTACAATTAGAAGAAGGAAAAATTTGGGAATATGTAATTGAATGGGGAAAAGCAAAAAATCCCACTTTACCTACTAATCTCGATAAATGGACAAGTGATGATTTCTTATCTTTAAAGGAAACTTTGAAAGGATGCCTCCCATACATTAGATATTTTAGTTTTTCCAATGAAGATGTGATAGAAAAGATTTATCCATATCAACAACTTCTTGAACATCAGCTTTTTACGGATATCACTATAAAATTTATTACACCGAACAAGTCAATTTCTTCGATCGTATTACCACCTCGAAAGATTTTAAATACAACACTTCAAACCAGAATTACTCCAATTCTTTTGTCATCTAATATTATCACTAATGAACATGCACTTGAAATTTCATCATGGATTGATAGAAAAGAAATCCCATATATTGAAAATAACCCATATGAATTTAAATTGCTTGTTAGAGGATCTAGTTTTGGGTTTGACGTTAAAACTATTTATAATATTTGTGATAAGTTATCTAAAACAATTATAATTTTGAAAGTTAAAGATACTGGAGAAATTCTTGGAGGGTATAATCCTCGTGAGTGGGATAAAGATAAAAATGGATGGATACATTCCGATGATAGTTTAATATTTTCATTAAAGACTGCAAATATGAAAAATTCAATTTTAAGTAGGGCATTGGAGGGTTATTTTGCCTTTTATAATTATCCACGGAATTTGCAGTTGGGTTTTGGTAATGCTTTATGTTTAAATGGCAATTTGAAAACTGAGAAAAGATGTTATTGCAAGTCCAGTAAAGCATTTCCTACGCCAATATTCAATAATCCTTCATTTTCAGTTGAAGAATATGAAGTTTTCGTAATCTCACCAAATAAATAACATAATATTCATTTTATTTTTTTGATTTGTATTATTTTTGTTATTAATTATTATTCGTTATTTATTAGATTTAATAAATTTAATAATATATTCGATAATTATTATTTTTGAAATTTATATTATAAAATTTCATTTAGATAAATATAAATTTGCACATAAATCGAATAACATAACAATAAACTGACTTTCTATTTTAATTATATAAAATTTAATTTTATTTACAAATAAAACTGACAATTACACAAAAATTTATTTAAAAACATAGAATTCTTTCTAACAGGAAGAATATATTTCATTCTTTTTATTTGTATAATGATTGAATTTTGACAACTTTACTCAACTTCTTGAAAGCGGTGTTAATTGCGGTGTCTCAATTGAAGTCATTGAAGATGTCAATATTTATGAAGTTCATTCGATTATTTTGCAATCCCGCTAAAAAGAAATTTGATGTGAAACTAAAGTATTTGATGTCATTATTAACTAAGAGTAAGTTTAAAAATTATTATTTAAATTTGTATATTTAGATACATATGTTTAAGATGGAAAAATTGGAAAATTCTGCATTTTTGACCTTCGAGTGAACTTGAATTGAACATGAAATGCAATTAGAAGAAAGGTAAATTTGAATACATATATTGAATAAATGGTCAAGTCACAATTTCATAATCTTAAAAGAAACTTTGAAATAATTTCTCCCTCACATTAGATATTTCAGTTTTTCCGATGAAGATGTAGTAGAAAATATTTTCTCTTGAATCTAAACTTTTTTCTATACATCTTAACAAACAAATCTCTTCAATTGTATCCAGCTCGAAAAATCTTAAATACAAAACTTTCAATTAGAAATACTCAAATTTCTTTGCCTTTCCAATGTAATCTCAAATGTATTAATCTCAAGTACATCAAAGCTTTGCACGTAATTCAGTCCGTTTTCTCTCTCTCTCTCTTGACATTATTGCACATGCCACACATTTAGGGGATTTGTGCTTTACGTTTAATGCTTGTTTCATCTTCTGAATCCCATTTTTTTAACATTTTTTTATTGCTGATATATCTTTATTTTTAGTTGAGTTTTCTAAATTTTAGCAAAAATGAATTCTTTTTGTGAGAAATAAAATTAAAATGATTTTAATAATTCGATGAATAATTGTAAATTTTGTTTTTTATTTAATTGAAATAAGATACATTCGAATGTATGATGAAATATGCGAAGAATAATTAAGATTAAAATAATTAAAAAAAAAAAAATAAAAATAAAAAATAAAAATAAATGCAGTATAATAAATGAATGATAATAAAAATGAATGTTATTGGTAAAGAAATATGGAGAAATAATAATAATTAAAACTATTTACATATCATTCAAAGAAAATTCATAATAATAAAGATAATAAATTTTCAACAAATAATAATAATTGATAATAATAATAATAATAATAATAATAAAGATTTATAAATTCCAATTCATAAATTTACTAGCCAAAATATCATCTACACTCCATCTTTCGTCATCATCTATTTTTAAACACATACAAATGACTTCCTTAATATCTTCATTTAATGTCACATTATCAAGACCTTTAAATAAACTATTAATTTCATAATCTTTATAATTTTGATTATTATTATTATTATTATTATTATTATTATTATTATTGTTGTTGTTGTTGTTGTTGTTGTTATCATAATTATTATTACCAATGCTAGTACTCATTTTTCTTTTACTTTTCTTCTCTCTCACCAATTTTTCCAATTCTTCAATACTATCATATAATAATTTCTTGGTACATAAATAATAAAGTATGGAACCCAATGAAAATACGTCGATGGATTTTTTCGCTTTAATGTTTTCAAGGAATGTAATTAATTTTGAAGAGATTGGTTTCGGATTGAATAATAATTTTTGAGGTAACAAAATTTCGGGAGCTGAAAATCCAATCGAAAATTGGGGAATATTTTTTTGTAAATTTTGGGAAGTTTGTTGTAGTTGTAGCTGTGATTGTTGTTGATTATGATTAGTATTAATACGAAGAGGAAGAGGAGGAGGAGGAGGAGAAGAAATTATAGTTGTGGTGCTAGTTGCATTGTGAATATTATTTGGTTGATATGTAAGGTCATCATGTTGACTATCATTATCATTATTATCAGAAGTGACAGTTGTTGAAGTGACAACTTGAACTTTTACTTGAATATTATTATTATCAGTAAAGTCGTGTACTAAACTTGTATCATCACTAGGATAATTAGTTTTGATTGGATTTAGGGATTGAATTGTGATCGGGGAAGAGGAATTGGTGGTAATATTAGAGAAATATGTCGAAGTGTTGCGAAATGCGCCATACACGAAATCACCAATATTTCGTGAATTTTCAAAATCACATATTCTAAGTTTGTAAAGATTTGTTTCTTTACAAATTATATTTGATGGATTTAAAGATAAATGCTATAATCATGAATTAAATATAAACAAATATAATAGAGATGATTATATAAATAAATTAGTATGATGAGAAAGAAAGAATAAAAATAGAATCAAATGAATTGAATACAAACCACAACTTTATGATCATGCAAAGATTTCACTTTTTCACAAATATTTCGGAATAAAAAGAATATTTCCATTTCACTATTAAATTTATGAAGATTCGTATCCAAATTCTCTCCATAATATTCAGTTATTATTAAAGACGATAATTTTGATTCTTTTAAATCTTTTAATTGTTGTTGTTGTTGCTGTAATAGTTTTAATTCTTCAAGATCATTTTCCCTACTTTCGTTACTTTCAGGTCCTCCATTATCATCAATAAATTCTTCATTACTTTCAGCAACGCTACCAATTTCAGTATTGATATTATCAAAAATTTCATTTCCATCAAAGTACATTTCTATATCAAATAATTTTATCGTCAATTGAGATTTTATGAATTTTCTAAGAAATAAAACTTCATTATTGAAATTTGAATGATTATTGTGTAATTTACAAATTATTAATTTTTCGGGAATTTTCTTTAAATGACCTTTAAAATATTTGCAAATATTTTTATTATGATTAAAATTAGAATGATTAATTGTTGTTGATGATGATGATGATGTTGGTTCCTTGCAACTTGATCGAGATGAAGTTGATTTATCTGAAGCAGTTCGAGTTAAAGATTTAAAGTAATAAATATTATTCACAACGGGAGCGGTGATCATGTATCTATCACCGCATATCGTTTTTGGTGTAAAATATGAATTTTTTTTCTTTGATAATGATGATAATATATTTGATCTTGAATTTTGTGAAGAAATCGTTTGATTTGATCTATTGGAATTCGATCGACTCGGTAGTTGATTTATTGATGACGGTTGACTTGGTGGTTGGGGATATCGTTCTATATAAAAATATATATAAAAAAAATAAAAATAAAAAATAAATAAAAAATAAAAAATAAAAATATAATAATTAATCCTAATTAAATCACAATTTTAATTATGATTTTTTAATTATAGTTACCTCGATTATCGAGATTAATATAACTATTTTTATTAGCCAAAAAAGCAGACGATACTGAGTATCTATGCTTTGGCAACGAGGTTCGAATTTCGTAATTACCTTGAGTAATTTCATTTCCATTACACCTTGTATTTTCTGAAGTTCTGACTTGATTAGTATTTTGGCTGTTAGTAAAATCTTCTGAAGAATGTTCACGTAATGATGAATCAGATCTTGATTCATAAGAACAATCAGATGGGGTTCGATGAACTTTGTCCATTACTGGACTCACAACTGCCCCTGTTTGATATTCTCTATTATACCCTCCTCCACCACTGTCGCCTTCAACTCCACCCCCAACTCCAACTCCACCACCACCACCTCCTACCCCTACCACCCCTCGAGTAGATAATCCATAATCTCGTTGTGATAATGGGGGAGGAGGAGAAATTCGTGATCCGGCATAAGACGAAGTTGAATTATTCCTTAATAATGAAGGATTAATATCATTTTGATTTTGAAAAGTATAAATTGATGGATTGATTTGACTAGTTGGATCGATTGAACTAATTGGATTGATTGAACTGATTGGTTTGATTGGACTGATTGGATTAATTGGACTGATTGGATTAATTGGACTGATTGGATTAATTGGATTATTTTGAGTAATTGGATTAGTTGGACGAGTATGAATAATTGGATTAGTCTGAATAATTTGGCGAGTTTGAATAATTGGATTAATCTTAATTTGACTAGTTGGAATATTCGTATGATTATTTAAACTAATTGTACTAGTTGGACTATTGCTACTCGTGATGGCTACGTTAGTTTTAACGTCATTGCCGATATTCAGTGAAGTCTTTTTGAGAAATTGCGAACACATGGAAAAGAATTTTTTCGAATTCAACAAGCAATGACATGAGATTTCGAATCTAATATTACCCACGCAAAGTCCATGTTCCAATAACGTATATTCACCAACTATAAATGAAAATCGAATAAAATTATTTTATAAAATTTAATTATAATTAAATACTAAATAATTCAGTGTAGATGTAATAATTCAATGACTCACCATCAACACTTTCACCCGCCACTAATAATGGCCATATTATTTCAGTAGCGGCGGCTGGTCCAATATGAAATTTTGTCGTAGCCACGGATGATGCGGAAGTTCCGTAATGAAATTTAATACATAATTCATCATGACGAGCAATAAAATTTAAAGAAACAATATTTGTCCATTCCGAACTTAAAATGTTCCAATATCTTTTAGTCGAATGAAATGATTTTTCTCTTTCTAATCCAAATTCCAAATAACCAACGGGTCCTACTGTTCGATTATCACATTTTCTATGAATAAATGAATAAATAAATTAATTAAATAAATTAATCAATTAATATAGTATATATTAATTAGATAGAGATATATTTATATATTGATTATTATTATTATTAAAAAACTAACAATTGTATTTTCTTAATTAAAATTATTCCAATATTTTGACCACGAATATTCGGATCATCAAATTGTTTCATAAATAATTTGGGTGGATCCTATTTATTATTGTTATCAATAATGTAAGAAAGAGAGAACGAGAGAGAGAATGAATAAGTGGATGTGAGAATAACAACATATGGAGAGAGAAATAATATAATATATAATTTTTTTTTTCTTACATTAGAAAAGAAATATACATTAAATGAAACAATAATAGAATCAATGTATCCCAAATCAAATTCACAATGAGTTTCTTCTTGATTAAATTGTTCATAAAATGCCAAATTCTGTTTAGCTTCCCCGATACATCCAATTTTACCTTTAATCGTTGGATCCCAACATCTAATAAGTAAATCGGTATTCATCATTGATTGATATGATGATGAGGATACCATAAAAACCATATTCTCTTGCCAACTTCCATACTTTTCATCTTGTTTATTTGAACTTTGTGTACTTTATATTTATATTATTCATATTATTTTATAATATAAATATTTAATAATAAATATATTTATTTATTTAATTAATATAAATCAACGTTAGTAATAACTATAAGAATTTATAATATTTACAATATTTATAATATTCGACTTACAGTTCATTTACTCCCGTTGACTTTATTTCTTGATTAAATTCGAATTCTAATCTTAATTTTGTATTTTCTTTTAAAATTGATCTCACAATTTTCGAAAATTTAGGTTGTTGTTTTTTGACTTTTAAAGTACTGTAATATAATATTATTGTTGGTATAAAAATAATTAAATAAATAAATATTAAAATTAAATGTATATATTGGTTTAATTTTTCGAGAAATATTTTCTTTTAACAAAATTTAAAAAATTTTTCGAGAACTGTTTTTTGTTTATTTGTCTTCACATCAAAAAAAAAAAAAAAGAATTACCATCGAATTCCCTTTACGATAATTCCACCGAGAGGGTTTTCATTTTCGTTATTAAATTGAGTCGCATTATTTGTTCCTGGAAGGAATTGATTTAGATAAACCATTTTTTCTTGTATATATATCTATATTTTTTATTATTTATTTTTTTTTTTTTGCTCTAATTTTTTGAATTTTATATTTGAGAAATATATATATATATAAAATTGCCAAAAAAAAAAAAATTAATTATATTTTATATTTTAAAAAAGAAAAAATATAATGGTAATTATTGTATTTGGTAATAGTGCCTAATTAGAGCAAGTGAAATGATAAGAATGTGAATATATAAATAAAAAATAAAAAATAAAAAATGAAAAAAATTATTTAAGAAATAAAAGAATGGAGAAATTTTTTTTGACCATTTATTCCGTTTAAATTATCATATTTATTTATCGGAGTTCAATCAACGATTAACTAATTAAGCTAAACTAAGTTTGACTAGTTAATAAGTTTTGACTTATACTTATAAACTTAAAAATTGAACCAAACCAATTAGAGTAAGAATTTTCGTGAATTTCGTTTGTGGAATGTATGTTAATTATTCTTTCTAGAAAAAAATATAAAAAAAAACAGATTTTCTTTATTTTCAATAATAAATTTAATTTACCAATTAAAAAAAAGAATATATGTTTGGATACCATTTATATAAGTCTATCAGTACGCTGAAATATATACATCTAAAAGAATATTCAAGAATTTTTTTTTTTTTAGAAAAAAAAAAAAAGACGTATGTATGTTTGTATGAATGCGTGTATGAATGTTTGTATATGTATGTACCACAAATAAATTTTATTATTTTAATACCTTTTTTATTTTCTTTGATAACAATTTTTACCTAATTTAAACAAGACATTAAATAATTTTTTTAGTTAATCTAGCATTGCATAAATTACATGATTACATGATTACATTATAATACTGTAATAATCCATTCATAATATTATAATATTATCAGTTACTTAAATATTAATAAATTATATAATATACTATTACATAATATATTCGGAACATAATTTATTAATTAATTTAATTAATCATATTTTAACCATATTTTTTTCAATTATAATTAATTAAATAATGTTGGCGTCAAAATTATAAAAGCATGGAATTATGTAAACATTGAAAGCATTAAAATAGTTAAATAAATTGTACTGTATTAATTGTATTAAATATATAGCATATGATAAAAATAAAAATAAAAAAAAATACTTTATTAAACCGAATAACCAAAAATATTTTTATTACTTATAAGGTAGAAGCCGATATGATATAAATTCAACAGTTTAGGATAAGAAAAACTAAAAATTAAACTTGTAATCTCAGTTTTCAAATTGAATAGAATTTTTTCGGATTTGCGGTTATTAATGAAAATACAAACTATCTTTAACATTTTCCCATTCAAGAGAATTATACCATCCCAGAATTTCTCTAGTACCATTAACTTTTTATGATATTTGTGATGACGGATCCAAAACAATTATTATCCATGATGAAATTTCTAATGCATGTTCATTAATGATAATATCAGAAGGCAAAAGAATTAAGATATTTTTAGTTGGAAGTGTCATATCTAAAATCTTATGATTGATTGGTTGGATACCATGATTTTATTATTCATATTTTGAGATTCAAGGAGTTGTTGATATGCAAAAGCTTTTGATATGCAAAAACTTTTCGAATATATCTTCACGGAATACATCTCTCTCTCTCTCGTTTAGAACCACACTGAAATTACATCCAATTATTTTACCGCAATCTATTATTTGACAATCCGTACATACTTTTAACGACATTATTAAAATATATTCGGGATAGTCTAATATAGCCTATTCTTTTTTTCGGCGATTTTTAATAAAATTTAATTAATAATATTAAAAAAAAATTAAAAAAAATTAATTTACTATACTTACATTTGTAAAAATCAATTAATATCTAGTGTGATAACCATGAGATTTTATTACTGCCTTTACTCTGTTTTCCATACCATTAGCTAATTTTTGAAGAAGTCACTTCCCGCTCCTATAAAACAATTCCAATTGGGTTTAAGTCAGGTGACTGTCTGGCCACGGGAAAAGAGAAATTTCCAATTGTTGCATAAAATTTTCGTGTTACGATTCTGGTGCATTATCTTAGTGAAAATGATACTCCCCTTCAAATTCTTCTAAAATTGGTATCAAATGATAGTCAATAATTTTATTCTATATATCTGTTATTATTAATCCGTCACTCAATTCCAAGTTAAGGGCATAACCCATGCCAAGAAAAACATTTCGCAATCACGACACCTGCGTCAGCACGCTTGACAGTTGGAAATCGCCATACATGAATTTTGTCATAATGTAAATCGTGATTAATCACAATCATTGTCTTTCACGTGTCAAATTTAAAACGGATTATTCTATATTGGGGTTTTCTTAGATAAAAGCTGTTTGACCATGATATCCCATTTCATATAATGTAAGCTTTAAAATATTCTTTGCTTTCTTATAATTATTCAGATGAATTACACTGATTTTTGGCGATAGATATCGCTCGTCACGTTTGGTTGATTTTTTTGGCGGGAGCAACAGAAATTGTGCCTTTTTCACAAAACTTAACTATAATAGTATGAATAGTAGTCTTTCCATACTCGGCTTTTTTTTTAATGGTTCTATCTGAGTCACTGGCGAGATAAAACCGATAACTTCTCCCGTTATAACTATTTTTTTAGCCATTCTACAATAAAGGAAGGGTATAATTATGTTTTTTATTTAGACAGCCTCTTTAAGGTTAAGAAATCATCGCTTGTCCATTTAGCAAGACTAGTATGCAAAGTATATTTTTTTTTGCTTTTCCCATTGAATTAAAATTTTGCCTTCGTCTAATTGCAAGTCGTCTCTTTTGAGAGTGGATATTAATGCATTTTCAGGTTGAGAATGAAAATTATCAGATTGGAAAAATGATATTAGGATGTTTGACAATAATATCATTACATAAATCTTGAATAATTTCGAGGTTTTTGACTTAAAACGTTTTTGAAAAACTTGAACAAAGTTTAATCATAACCGTGAAGCATTGTTGTTAAGATGAATTTGGAAATGTTCGACTAATTCATACAATTTAAATTCATTAGAAGCAATTAAAATTTCTATTATTATTTTCTAAAAAATAATATTTGAACGATGTATACACTTTAATAGAAAATTAGACAGCTTTAATACTTTGAAATGGTTTCATTTAAAGTAATTTCGTTAATAAGGATTGCAGGACGGGTTTGCAAAAAATAATCGAACTTTAATTAATACCAATTTTAAGATGTAGTAAGATTGTTTTGATGGACCAAATTTTTTACAAATGAGAAAGTAATTTAAACGTTGTAAAAAAATTTAGGTGTGATAAACAAGAATAACATAGAAACCTTATAAAAGTCATTTGATTCATTAAGGTAATAAAAAATTTATATATATCTAATCATGAAATAAAACAATGATAACACTACCACCTTTTTTAATAATCACATCGCATTATGAAAGCTCTTTCCTTTTTTGGAGATTCACAAATTAATAGATTACAGTATATCTAAAAAAATTTTATTTTGGATTATTTAAATTATTTAATATAGTTTTTAATTCATCAAATCTTGTCTTAAATTCATTTTCCAGGTTATAAGATTTTTCTTGCATTGATAATTGATCATCAACGTTTGCAGTATTACTTGATTTACTATACGTAACTGACATTGTTTGATTTACGATTTCTTTGTGATTTTTTGTTTAACGAAATATTTGGCTGTAATGGGTTCAATAAAATCCAAATCCATAGCGCTTGAAGGACCTTCATGTCGATATTTTTTTGAATAGAATGAATTATCTAAAATTTATAAATTTAAAATTTAATTTAAACTAGCCATTTATTTTTTTTGGGGGGTATCCACCACATAAATAAGATTGGAATTGACAATAGTAAATTTATTTTTATAATGATTACCGAAAATGATTTTTGATAATCACTATAAA